CAATTGTGTGCTTATTCTTCCACTGCAGATGAATTTACAGTTTGCAGGACTATGTAGACAAAGGCAGCTGAGCCCGTAGATGGTATGTAGGAGCAGATCAACAAATTAACTTCATGTGCAAGCCAAGTCTTACAACTTTATCTCATGCAAATAACACTTAATCGTGGAAGTTGTCTTGGCAATGGCAGATTCGAGCTGTAAGATACGAGAGGCCTGATCTCTGATGTCTTGAAATTCTGGGATGCTAAAATGACACTAACAGGTTAATCAAGGGAAAATATTCAGATGCTCTTAAAAATCATCCTGAATTTCCTTTGAAGTTTGAAACAAATAATTGATTTTTAAAACTTAGTTAACATTGGGAAGCATAAAAAACTAAATTAACATCTGTATAAACTTCTCTCTAAGCACCTCTAGGTGCAATTGATGTGTCTATTAATCCATAAACAAAAATGAAAGAATCTTACTGAATACATGAAGTGAAAATCTGACTCCACCAAGGCTTCTGGCAACACTCTGTCACTTGAACAGGGCCAGATTTACAGTCCTGATGTTTTAATCAGAGGTGCACCAAAGCTCTGTCTCTGTAAAAAAGTTGAGGTCTTCACATTAAATGTCTCAGTACAATTTCCAGTGTCACATCTGCACTACATTTTGTGCCTATATCTGGAACCTGTACCTCAGGCAGATACAACCAGGTGTCATTTATTTTAATCAGCAGTGCTCTGCAGATTGCTGTGCCTGACTCCCTTAGAAGTTATGGAGCATTGACAAACGAGTCCCTTGAATTAACTCTTGGACTTTCAAAACTGTCTGTTTGTTGTTTTGCATATGACACCTGTTTTGCAACTCCTCTGTGAACACTTAGTGCTTTCAGTTGTATGACATGGAAAAGGAATTGTGAAGGTCACATGCACAGTGTAAAAAAACCCAAAGCTTTTTAAATTATACTTTTGTAGCATGAGGACTTTTAGGGATGTGTTTGTTTTCTCAAGAATGTGTTTGACAGGTGGGATTGTTTATGAATTTGAGTCCAAACATTGACAGAGTAAGAAGCCTCTTCTGTTATGTCTCAGAGAAGTTGTGAACGCCCCATCCCTGGACATGTTCAAGGTCAGGTTGGACAGGGCTTCAAGCAACCTGATCGAGTGAAAGAGGTCCCTGCCCGTGGCAGGGGGGTTGGACTAGATGGGCTTTAAAAGGTCTCTTCCAAACCAAACCATTCTGATTGTGTGATTCTATAAGCACATTGTGGGGTAAGTCCCTGTCACATGCTATTCCTGAACTGTCCTTGAATATAATCTGAAATAACAGCAGTTGCTAGAAAGGAACACCACTTCCCCACTAGGGAAATCACTGGCAATTAAATAGACTGCACTGTGGCACACCAGTGTCTCAAGCCCACAGCGTGGCTTTGTTTTATTTCTTCAGAATATTTAAATGTCTCAAAACCATAAATCATCTTCATAAAGTGCCAGCTTTTATGATACTTTAACAGGACAGGTTAGCAAGGCCCAGGATGAAATTTCGTACCAAAGTCAGAGGAAGAGGGATCTGGGCCAGCATCAGGACAGTCACACAAGGTTTGAGGAGGGGATCCAGTTTCAGTGCTCTTCCCTATGTGTGAATCAAGGAGCTGTTAGGATATTTAGGGGAGGGTACTTGGGGAAGGGGGAACTTGAAAGGGGAAATTGCATCTGGTTTTAGCCATATCAAAGATATATGCCATAAAGAGTAGCCCTGTTGGTTAACTAGAAACAAGTGGATGTCTTTTTTTTAACCAGACAAGATTTTACTTTATTTTGGTATAAAATGGAAAAAAATCTTGAAATCTCAGTAAGTTTCAGAAAGTGGGAAAACTGTTTCCCATTCAGATTTACCCTTGGCTCATACGGGAACACCCCTGAGGGCATTTGTTCATTTGTCCTTCTGGAACACCTCTCCCAACTGTGTTTTCCCTGCTCCGTTTCTGGCTGTGTGCATGTACAGCGTGCGATGTACAGAACGGTGTGTGACACACATTAATACATATAGATAGCCTTCTGCTTCTGACCTTACAAACTGTCCACTTCAGCACTGTCATTCTATAAAATGTCCAACTGCAGTCCAAGAAATGCATTTTAAATGTGAATGTAAACATTTCTATTACTGATAACACCAGCGCAGCATTTTTTGCTTTGCTGGGATTAGGACCTTGATAGTTAAAGTTACATTGGAGTAATGACGCTCCAAGGTCGCGTCCTTTACTGACACGGCAAAGGAACGAGAGGCTTTTACTGTGTTTCTGCTGATAAAATTAAGAAGGATTATTCCTTGTGTTTGGTAAGATATTTTAAAAGTGAAAGAATGTATTTGTGACCCGTAAATATTTTAGGTCACCAAAAACTGGGAGAAATTTGCGTGTTGCACTGCGTGAAAGTTGTATTTAATTCACGCTGAAAGTCAGATTTTAGAAAACATTCTGAAATCTGATAATGATGCAAATAAATGCCTCCCTCCTCAGTGAAGAGCCATCTTCTCATGTGAACAGTAAAGCAGCCACAGTTCACCTTAAAAAAAAACCATAAAAGTACTGTGATCTGCAGAGAGAAACTCTCAGGCAATTTCAGCTTAGAAGGCTAACTCTCCAAATCACAACCTCTGTCTGAATATGCTCCAACGTGCTTCGCTTTCATGCTCAGTAAAATGGGGGTAGTAATCTTTATTGATCTGTCTACGTTTTAGGAACGCATTAAGGAGTACTTAAATGATATCTTTACAGTGTTTTGAACAGTTTTGATATATGCAGCTCTTGCAATACAGCTTAGTAGGTGGGCTTGCCATTTTATGAGGTCTTCCCACAGGAGAGCTGTTCTGCTTTTCTTTATGGTTCTGTGGTCTTCCCATCCAAACTTCTATCTGGGCAAGTTTGGTAAATTGATGATGACTTCAGCACTTACCACTTGTTAGCTGAGCTGCCATAGCTAGCCAAGTGTACTCTTTCCACTCAAGGAGTTGGTTTAAGTTGTCACATTGTACTTCAGTTGAGCCTACCTAGAGGCACACCATCGGTCTGTGACTGCTGAAGGAGCAGTCACTCGGGACGCTGTCAATTGATTGAGTCCTATTTTAACCTAAT